ATCTTATATACAAGTAGACGAGCAATCTCTCGGGTATAGATTTTTGAATTAAATATTTCATAATATTTTAAAGTAATTTGAGCAGAGGTTTCACAAAAGCTATAGTTGCCATAGTGTATTATATTGGTCTCAATTTTATATTACAAGAAAATCGAGAATTTCAATGGATTAGTTAACGTAATACAAAAGAGAATGCCTCCTAGGATTAAATTCAATAAATAAAAATGATCTATCAATAAAGAAATTACCAAAAATTGGAATACAAGAATGTAATTTATGGTATGTGAAATTAATTCGTTATATTTACATATACAATTATTTTTACGAAAAATTGTAATGTAAATAGATAATTTAAGAATTCAAGAATTGTTTAATGATATTTTACTAGTAATAGAATTTATTATTATTATTATTTTTTAATTAGTTAATAGAATAATCGAATCTCAGACGTCTTTAACCATGACCTAAATAATAAGCTTCGCAACAAAGAAATTAACGGGAAAGAAAGTCCAAAGGTTGCAGATGTTTATTTTCCTTACTAAATATTATTGATTAAATTACAAGGAAACATTTAAATTTTTCTTAAAATTATTTAATTTTCTTCATATTAATTGAGTAGAGTGTAGAAAAGAAATTCTTCCGTTGAACGGATGGCCACAGTTTTCAAAGATATGATACAAAGCAATAAAATAAGGGCATAATTTAAAATTATAATTTATTATACAATTAATAAATACAGGAAAAAAATAGTATAAAATGTAATAAAATTTAACAGAAACAGAATCTCAAAAGATCTTTGATTATAATCCATCAGAAAGAAAAAAAAAAAACGTTCAAAGGGTGGCAAGAGTCTAAGGTAGGCGTATTCACAATGCAAGATCAAGTATTAAGATTTAGGAATTTACTTTTAGTACGTGAAATTTTATTGTTTTAGAAAAAAAATAATAATAAATAGTTAAATTCTAATTCTAACTCTTGATCCTTNCTATTTTAACATGCACAAAATACTTGAAATTCTATATTTAAATATTTAAAAGTTTTTAATCTTGTTAATAAAGTTAATGTATTTTACCTTATACTCTCCATAGATACTTTCCATTGGAATTCTGTCTTCTTTTTGCAATTTTCTGAAATTATAAAATATTTTCAGATCTCATCTCTTGAAATTTTCAATATTACTTATTTAATACTAAAAAAATTAATAAAATCTGCATACTCTTTACAAGTGCTCTCCAGCACACTGAAATAAACCATAATAAATTGAACAATGCAAACATACTAAAATATTCTTTGAACTATTCAAAAGTATAAACTTCTAAAAACCAACAATTTTTTAATCACAATATATCAATAAAAAATTTTTACTTTAATTAAAATTGTTAAATGTACAGAAAAACTTTACATAAAACCATATGTTTTTAAATATTTAATAATTTACTTGTTGCAAAATTATACTTTTCATTTTGATTATCAAGTTTACTGGGATCTAGTTACTGAGTAAAATAACAATCTAGTAAAATTTTATCATATGATACTAAATTTATCAATATTTTCTTGTGAGTTTTAAATTTAAAACATTTTATGTAACAAACATGAAAAAGAAGAAGAATTGGCAATTCATTATTTGCTACTGTCATTATAATATGATGACAGTAACAAATAAGAAGTTACGAAGATTATTTTCTTCAGATATGTACAGTCGACCCCCCTATAACAATGTTGATAATTCCGTCTTATATGAATTCCGTGTTATACGAGTCACTTAGATTTTACAAATACGTGAGACGTTCAAAGCCCGGCACACGTATTTGTAAAATCTAAGTGACTCGTACAATATGGAATTCATATAAAACGGAATTATTAACAGTGTTATAGGGGGTCGACTGTATAATAGGAAAAAAAAATATATATTTATTATTTCTCTTAAGACATTCTTCTATCTCTCAATTTGTTCTCAGGTTTTAATATAAGCTGACAAAAATAAAGCTTTTTCTCTTAACACACAAGAAACAATGGGATAAAAAAACTGTTAAAAATATTTTTAAGGCTCAGTTGAAAATGACCACTGACACCTTGTGATAGGACCTATTTCTGATTTGTAATGTTTATCTAGTTTTAATCACAGCTGGAAAGTAACAATTTAAAAAAATATTTAAGAACAAGTCCTAATTTTAATATTTAAATATTTTTAAAACAATCCTATTTTCATGAGTAGACATTTTAAATAAGGTTCTTCTTATTTATTATTATTATATAATAATTTTTTTTACATAGTTTATTTTAAATAGGAACGGATTTAATGACAAAGTAATTTCTATAAAGATAGAAATTAAATCATAGAATTAATGCTTGAATGATGGAGTAATTTTCGATGATATGTGACGTTCATTCTCAAAAATTAAAGAAAATTTCATACTAATAATCGTGGTTCATAAAAAAAAATTTGGGTTTTAATTATAAATTTCAATTAATATTTTTATAATATATTTTTAATTAAGGTTATAAATACAATATAATTAAAATAATTAAAAAGTACAGTATATGACTACTGTATACAAACACTACATTATCTAAATGCTAATACAATTAATGTTTAAAAATTAAAGGATAGTTTGAATAATAATAAATTAAATACATATATTATGATTAGGAATTTTTTAAAGGATAGGTACAGTACATACATTAATAGCATGAGAAACATGATAAAACAATTTTTTAACTCGATACATGTTAATTTTCAGTCTTGTGTAATACTTTATAGCAACATCAGCTTTAAATTAATTTTTAGAGTTTAAATAAACAAATTTTTAATTATATATTCATATTTATAAAAATCACATAGCTTTATCTTTCATATTTAAATTATTTGAAAATAAAGACTAATATAAATAATATAAGATGCCTTTCAAGAATTCAGAAAATTGCAGGTTATTCTTACTAATATAGGGCACTGTGATAATTTTTTAAAAAGAAATAAGAAATTCGGGACATTCGGTAAATTAGGAATGTAAATAGGACTATTCTTCCAAATTTGGGATGGTTGATGAGTTTGATCAATTTTTGTATGTTTATAGAAATTATAGCGTGAGTGTAGAGTTTCCGAACAATAATATATTATTTAATTCGCCAGATTTTCCCATAAGATGATCAACATTTAATCAAAACATTCCTTAACAATCTAAAAAACCAGGTGATCCCAATTCTTAAGTGATGGTTAGCATATAATTTGAAATCTAAATTGTGTTTACTGTGAAAAATATTTCTGTTTGTTAAGTTATGACAACGCAACACTTGGGCGATTCCTTTTTAAAGGTTTAAGGGAAACTGGCCCCTATTTAGGAGTTACAGACGTAACTCCTAATAACCGGAAAAAAATTCCACGTGGCCAGCCCATCCGANGTTTAAAAATTAAAGGATAGTTTGAATAATAATAAATTAAATACATATATTATGATTAGGAATTTTTTAAAGGATAGGTACAGTACATACATTAATAGCATGAGAAACATGATAAAACAATTTTTTAACTCGATACATGTTAATTTTCAGTCTTGTGTAATACTTTATAGCAACATCAGCTTTAAATTAATTTTTAGAGTTTAAATAAACAAATTTTTAATTATATATTCATATTTATAAAAATCACATAGCTTTATCTTTCATATTTAAATTATTTGAAAATAAAGACTAATATAAATAATATAAGATGCCTTTCAAGAATTCAGAAAATTGCAGGTTATTCTTACTAATATAGGGCACTGTGATAATTTTTTAAAAAGAAATAAGAAATTCGGGACATTCGGTAAATTAGGAATGTAAATAGGACTATTCTTCCAAATTTGGGATGGTTGATGAGTTTGATCAATTTTTGTATGTTTATAGAAATTATAGCGTGAGTGTAGAGTTTCCGAACAATAATATATTATTTAATTCGCCAGATTTTCCCATAAGATGATCAACATTTAATCAAAACATTCCTTAACAATCTAAAAAACCAGGTGATCCCAATTCTTAAGTGATGGTTAGCATATAATTTGAAATCTAAATTGTGTTTACTGTGAAAAATATTTCTGTTTGTTAAGTTATGACAACGCAACACTTGGGCGATTCCTTTTTAAAGGTTTAAGGGAAACTGGCCCCTATTTAGGAGTTACAGACGTAACTCCTAATAACCGGAAAAAAATTCCACGTGGCCAGCCCATCCGAGCGAGGCGCGAACCCACGACCGAACTCCTACGAAGACCGCTCGGCCACTGGTGGACACGTGAGAAATGTTTCTAATTTATATAGAAAACGAAAAATTAATTGTTTTAAAGATCACTATGCTATTCAGGTATTATCAGAATACGTAAATAATAATAATAATAATAGCGATTACGTATCCTTCGGAATTTCTGTGTAATAATTGGTCTTAATAAGTGAATCAAGTGTTTCTTTCTCTATTAGAGTGTTTTTCCTAGATGGTGTCTTGTTAAGCTACTTACAATAAGAATATTTTATAATAATTTTAAAAATGTATTTTCGATTTAATAATTAAAGCGAAATACTAGAATATTTAGGTTCTAAAATCGACAATAATTATGCCCTTTAAGATTGTATCTAACAACGAGGTCGGCAAACATGGGTGAAGAATGAGACCCCGCTACACCGACCGATGATAAATTATAATAGTGTAAACTGGATCCAAATTTGCTTATTATGTATATTTAATTAACTTTTTTCAATATTCAATATATAAATTTTATATAAACAAACAAAAAAGCAGCTTTGATACAATCTTTCGTGCATTATTATTTTTGGATTAATGATAGAATTATATTTTAAGCATCTTTACGTTATGCTTTGTATGTAATATTGCATAATAATTTTTTAAATTTAAAATGTAAAAATATTTCGATAGTATTTAATATTAATATACATACAATTTATATTAATAATAATATAATTATTAACTCGCTAAAATGACACCAGAGTGCAGCTTATTCGTTTTCATGCCGTGTTTTTAACCGGAAATATGGCTGACGAATGACACGTGTATCATGTTATGTAACTTTATCGAGATAATTATTGTTTTAAAACCTCGGAAACTTAGAGAATGAAAGAAAACGTGCCAACGAGATAAGCTTATGTCAGTTCTTTATAGATAATAATTATCATTTAAAAAAAATAAGTAATGATTTACTCCAGTTTCTAAATTTCACATCAATGAAGCTGATAAATATAGTAAATTCAATTTTTTATCATACAGTTTAAGATAATATTAATGACGCACGCGAATTATACGTTACCGATATATCATAATTATGTCAGTAAATACGTTCGTACCGCATGATTAATTCTCGTCCAATAAAATGATTTTAAAATGATCAAAGCAAAGATGTCAATAAATATGTCTGCTTCTAGTAGCATATCCGAGTTAGAAATAGAAGATAATTTGTTACTTGGCGATCTGGGATACGGTTCGGGTTTAAAACCGGGAGGGATACCAAACTTTTGTACTTCTTGTAAAGACCTTTCTTGTAAAAATAAGTTTCCTCATTTTGCATATTTATGTGATGCAAAAGATGACACCAAGAGAATTTCTCCTTTAGGAATTCATTCATTATCTTCAGAATATTCTGACAGTGCTAATTCGGAAGAGTTATGTGACTTGATCGAAGAAGAAAGAGAAACATTTAGTTTAGAACTGAAAAAAATATTTCAAACAAAAAGAAATTCTAATTGTTTCGGTAATTATATTCAAACAAGTATTTATTTTTATAATTAATTTCTATTTATGTAAAATCTTTCTCAAAAAATTTAATAAAATATGATTAGATTTAGTAAAATATTATATGAAAATAATAATAATAATAATGTTATATATATTAGAATATCTTCATTAATATTGTCTACATTACTTTTATTGTGATGCTTTACTATTTTATACACACATTGTATTTTATTCTACTAGATTACTGATTGTTTAATTAATAATATACATATAATAACTGAAGAAAATGTTTAGTTTATTTTTGTTTTTTAAATCTTATAATTAAAAAAAGTACTGTTGATCTACATGTCGAAAACATCTTAGAAGAATATCATTAAAAAAAGCTAGTAATTATATATAATAATTAACTATTTATTTCTAACAAATATAAAATTTGCTTGAAATAATTGTACTCATGTATTGAATATAATTGAAAAATAATTTTTTAAAACATAATTTTTATCAAATTTAACTCATACCATTTTAAAAAGTTGTCTAATGTTTATGGTGCGGTGATCCCACCTCACCATCCCCCAACAACCATTCTCAGAAAACATGACCAATAAAAATTTAATTTTTAAAATTGTTTTCAGAATGTATTAGCTTGATATTGTTACTAAATAGGATACCAACTTTTGAAGTTACTTAAAATGCAAATTTTGATAGCAATAAAAAAAAAATCATTCAATTGTAACTATTCAGAAAGAGGAAGAAACTTTTCTATTCTAATGGAAATACAATTGAAGCTGATTCCTTTTGTTAATTATTGAAATGTAAAACTTCAGTTTCTTCTGTTTAATTCTTGTTGAGTTTTGATAAAAGAATCAGTTGTAATTTATATTTTATGGGTGGATTATATTAACATTATATTGTGACTGTTGAGTTTTAAAATCATTAATTTATATAATTTATATCTGTAATAATGACATTTAATTTTATAAAATTAGATACTATCGATGATTCCAGTTCCGAAAAAGTAATTTCTAATCTAAAAGAAGAATTAAAATTAGCATATGAGGTAATATAAGAAATTTAATAATTACAGTAATAGAAATATTATTTAAATTAATAAAATGCTGTAAAATATTATGTTAATAATTATTGATGTAAAAGGTAATCCATATTAGTTTACATTGTGTGGAGGATTTAAAGATCCAGGAGCACTAAGTGGAACAACATTTAGGAGCCTATGGCAGTAGTTTAAATGATTTATACAATTACAAAAGTATTTTCAGCTATACTATTTGGAAGTTAACATTTTAATTAATCAAAAATACTATTACAATTAAAATATTTCAGGGGATTGAAATGTAATAAGTAGTCAGTCAAATGCAAAACTACTTGCAAAACACATTGTATATTTTCAAATTTCAAAACTATAAAACTTTAATCTATTTAATTTAAACAAATAAACTATTTATTTTTTTATATTTTGTGCATAAAATACAGAAAACCAACTTAATATACTTTTTATTTGCTAATAATTATAGACTTTAAGAAATAAATTGTAATAAATTCATAGAATGATTTAGAAATTTCTCAGCATTTAGGCCTCTAAATTGTTGTAAAATCTTAGTTACAAAATCAGATTTATTCATATTTCTAAATTCATATTTGATGTTGCATTGAGCCTTGCATTGTTTAATTTTGGTATAGTAATCATAAAATTTAAGTTGCTAATTCCTGCACTAGAGCTTGATACATATAAATACAGTGTGTTAAAAAAATTTCATTAAGGTAGATAAAATTCATCATACTGAGTAACAAAAAAACTTTGGTAAATATTGATTGAAAATGCAGCTGTTTCTAAGATAATCTCATAAACACCTGGAATTTTTGTAACTCTAAGATGATGCCAAGCATGCTGAGAAATGGAAGAAAGCTATCTGGAACACTTTCTGTAAATATCAAGGAAAAAATTTGTCAAAATTGTCCCTTTTTTTCATATCATATTTGACACACATATGCCAATAAGCTATTCATGATACTAACATGTACAATTGTTAATATGTCAGAAATGGTTGAGTTTTTGAACTATGTTTACTAAGGTTATTATTACTTGATATAGTGTATGCTTATCTATCATATAAATGCTGAATGTTTTTATTCTAACATCCTGTATATAAATATAAACATAAAATATTACCCAATAATCAATTAATCAAAGATATAAATCCTGAAGATGATTTCTTAATAGTTAATGTTTGTATTTAAATTTTATTCTAATGTTCCAAAATTACATTCTCTTCTTTGCATGAAAATGACATTTATAAAATGTTGAAAGTGCTTGCAATAATATTATAAGTAACTAAAAATCATTTAACATTGATAGACAGTAGTTATCTTGTTCTTTAAATAGATAATATTTTGGTGTGGTAAACATAGTCTTTATTTTTATATATAATTTTATTATGGACTACTATTATGTTAATAATTAAATAATAAAATTACATAATATGATTGTTTAATAATTGATTTAAATCAAATTTAATTTATAATTATTAATCTTAGCGTGAGATAGATAGTGGCCTACCTACTTACCTTTAGGTTAAATTATGTAATTTGCTTATTTAAACAATCAATAGTTTGTACAGTTATAGCTTGGGAATAATCCAGCTTTATATCATTGGCTAATTGAAGCACTAAAGTGTCAAAGTATAAGATTTTTTTATGTAGAAAAGCATAATGAAAGAATTCAGATAAATATACCAAACAAATACTAGGTTCAAGTAGCCAACAATTTTTAACTTAGAACAATGAACAAATAAGAATGATGTGGAAGTTTTTTAAATTTAAGAACGTCATTCATTTCGCTTTCAATTACTGCTTCAAGAATATATGTTGTGCTTCTTGCTTTTCAAAAACAAAAAAAAAACATATTTTCTGTTGTTTGCTCATCTTTATAGAATACTTATCATAATGAATAACATCATTTTTAAAAGTTCATAAAACTAATAAAAATGTTACAATTTAAACTAAGCAGTTGTTTGGTTTATTTATTTGCTAAAAGTGAACTTTTTATGAAGAGAATTCAGTTTTAATGTTTTAAAAAATGAATGAATTTATGATACAAAATTTAAAAAAAATTTCCACATTGTCGTAAACTTATATAGAATTTATTTATTTATTTTAAATTATAAAAACAAAATATACTTTATATAATTATAATTATTATTTATTCTAAAGCTATTTATCTTTTATTTTTAAATAAATTTTAAAAGCAAAAAAACGAAATTAATATATTTTATTTCAGAAAATAGAAAAATTAAGTAGTGATTTAGAAGTCACTAGAAAATTATTATATGGTAAATATAAAGCAAGTGAAGTTCTTGCTAAACAGGTAATTATAAAATTTCAATTATTTTTATATATACACATATGCAAAATAATGCACATTAGTAGGTACAGTATATTGATTTTAATAACTTTGTATTTTATCATGTGGTTATTTAAAGAATGCTCTTATGTATGCACATCTGTACAAATACATTTCTCATGTTTGTACATAGATACATACTTTGGTGCATTTAGTTTTAGTATACGTAGATACAAGATATATAAATAATTAGTTTTATACTATATAATAAATGAAAAATATAAGTACAATTAAAATATTTCAGGGGATTGAAATGTAATAAGTAGTCAGTCAAATGCAAAACTACTTGCAAAACACATTGTATATTTTCAAATTTCAAAACTATAAAACTTTAATCTATTTAATTTAAGCAAATAAACTATTTATTTTTTTATATTTTGTGCATAAAATACAGAAAACCAACTTAATATACTTTTTATTTGCTAATAATTATAGACTTTAAGAAATAAATTGTAATAAATTCATAGAATGATTTAGAAATTTCTCAGCATTTAGGCCTCTAAATTGTTGTAAAATCTTAGTTACAAAATCAGATTTATTCATATTTCTAAATTCATATTTGATGTTGCATTGAGCCTTGCATTGTTTAATTTTGGTATAGTAATCATAAAATTTAAGTTGCTAATTCCTGCACTAGAGCTTGATATATATAAATACAGTGTTAAAAAAATTTCATTAAGGTAGATAAAATTCATCATACTGAGTAACAAAAAAACTTTGGTAAATATTGATTGAAAATGCAGCTGTTTCTAAGATAATCTCATAAACACCTGGAATTTTTGTAACTCTAAGATGATGCCAAGCATGCTGAGAAATGGAAGAATGCTATCTGGAACACTTTCTGTAAATATCAAGGAAAAAATTTGTCAAAATTGTCCCTTTTTTTCATATCATATTTGACACACATATGCCAATAAGCTATTCATGATACTAACATGTACAATTGTTAATATGTCAGAAATGGTTGAGTTTTTGAACTATGTTTACTAAGGTTATTATTACTTGATATAGTGTATGCTTATCTATCATATAAATGCTGAATGTTTTTATTCTAACATCCTGTATATAAATATAAACATAAAATATTACCCAATAATCAATTAATCAAAGATATAAATCCTGAAGATGATTTCTTAATAGTTAATGTTTGTATTTAAATTTTATTCTAATGTTCCAAAATTACATTCTCTTCTTTGCATGAAAATGACATTTATAAAATGTTGAAAGTGCTTGCAATAATATTATAAGTAACTAAAAATCATTTAACATTGATAGACAGTAGTTATCTTGTTCTTTAAATAGATAATATTTTGGTGTGGTAAACATAGTCTTTATTTTTATATATAATTTTATTATGGACTACTATTATGTTAATAATTAAATAATAAAATTACATAATATGATTGTTTAATAATTGATTTAAATCAAATTTAATTTATAATTATTAATCTTAGCGTGAGATAGATAGTGGCCTACCTACTTACCTTTAGGTTAAATTATGTAATTTGCTTATTTAAACAATCAATAGTTTGTACAGTTATAGCTTGGGAATAATCCAGCTTTATATCATTGGCTAATTGAAGCACTAAAGTGTCAAAGTATAAGATTTTTTTATGTAGAAAAGCATAATGAAAGAATTCAGATAAATATACCAAACAAATACTAGGTTCAAGTAGCCAACAATTTTTAACTTAGAACAATGAACAAATAAGAATGATGTGGAAGTTTTTTAAATTTAAGAACGTCATTCATTTCGCTTTCAATTACTGCTTCAAGAATATATGTTGTGCTTNTTGCATATGTATCACTGATTTGCTGATTTACTTTAAACAGTATTGAAATTGTTAATTCACTTATCTAGTTTTTATGTCCACCCATATAGTTTGATTAGTTCTTGAATAATTGTGAGCCCATTGCAAAGTCATAGACAAAGTACACAATTTTATAAAATACATGGCTTTGTAAATGACTTTTATATTTTGTACATGGTTTTTTCCCTTGATAAAATGAATATTTATTATACAATGAACTATTTTATAACATGAATGCTTACTTGAATAAAAACATTGAATAAAGTAATTTGCAATTAAAAGTTGTGAAATTTTGTATGGTGGATTTCCCCAATTTTTGGACTGTGTTAGAACAAAACCATGTTGTAGAAGTGTTGTGTTTTACAAGGTATATAATTTGATTTAATTTTATAGAACTTAATACAGTAGGGCATCGATTATCCGACCCCAATTAACCATCACATCGGTTAACCGACTGTTCTAGTTGGCAAATTCAAATGTCCGCTAGTGATGTGGCGCTACAATATTTGGCTATGTCTTGGCTACTTTAATAGTATTTTTACGTGTTTTAGCTGGCAACATGGCTTGACCATGAAAGGGAGCCAGTACTTAGAGGCTTAATTTTCTAATTTTTAACGATACAATAGCAACGATTATTATTTTAAAAAAATTTTTGTTAGGCTTAACATCGATGAAAATTCAATGCGAAGTAGGTTAATAGCGATATACTAATATACTAATTACATGAGATATACTAATATACTATACTAATAATGTATTTTTTCATATTTTTCGGTTATCCGTTTTTTCAGTTATCCAACCAACCCCAGTCCTCAATTGAGTCGGATAATCGATGCTCTACTGTATATATTAAGCTTTTAAATAATGTGTATTCCTGTTATTAATAATTGAAACAAAAATTATTAAACATCTGCAAAGATTTTATTGAAATATCCATTTAAAAATTAGAATTTTGGTATAGTAGTAGGATATAGTAGTAGTTATTTTTTAAAATAGAACAGAACATTTTATATTCATTTATATTTTTATTAATAACATTAACATAGTAAATTTTATGGTTCTAATTACAATTTTTTAGACAGTAATTTTCCAAAAGCAGCATGAAATTGTCTTGTTTTATATGGGTGTTTGTGTATTAACAGGTATTGCACAAAACATCATGTAAATTTGTGTTTCTAAAGTTTTTGCAAATAATTGCCTAGATACTTATACAATTATTTACAATTAATAGAAAAATGTTAAAATGTGTTTAAAACATTTTACTTGTACGAGCAAAGTAAAATGTACTTGTAACTCTTGGATGCACAGGAGTAATTCTAACTAGTAATGCATTACTAGTTAGAATTACTCCTGTGCATCCAAGAGTTAACATAATCATTAAAATATGAATCTGCAGTAGAGTACTGTGTAAAACAAGACTCTACTGCATGTTATTTTATTTTATTTTTATATTTTACATTACTATCAGTAATAGCAAGGTATATAAACAATTTAAATATGCATTTATATAGATACATCATTACTATTTAATAATTTGGAATTGCTAATACAATAATACAAATATATAGAAAATTAATTTTTTAAAAATGTGTTATTTAATTTGTCATTATTTATTTTTAATTTTTAACCTTACTTAAATTCTTTTTAAGTAAATTTTCAAAATTTGGTTACTGTAAAATTATAAGAAGTTTAGAGTATTAATTGTTTGCTATTCCATTAAAGAAAAGAAATAAATAAATAAGAATATTACTTAGATTAAACTAACTGCATTAATATTAACTATTCTATTCTTTTATCATGGTACTTAAATATGAAAAAAATAATAATCTAATTTATTCTATTATCAAAAAAATGAGAAAACTCTAAAAGTAAATTCAATTTCTGCTGTTTTTCTGGGAGTGAAAATATATTAGAAAATTTAGTCACTTTCAAGCTATACACTTATCTTTAGGACACTAAGTTATGAATATCATAATAATGTTTCTTAATCTGTAATTAAAGGAAACTTATGTAAAAGACTTGATTATATTATAAACTGCTTCAAATTGAAAAAGAAAGTATAGAACAATTAGCTATTTTAATTATAAATTGTATATCAATATATTTTTAAACTTATATAAAAAATTTTTATATTAGTTTCTACTATTCATAATTTTTTATATATTCAATGTATTTTATTTAACACTAACTGTGCCTGCAGTTTCGCCTGCATGGAATTAAGTTTGTGACAATGTTCAGCACAAGTTTGGACACATTCACTGCATATCTCGCCGACCATGCAACTGCGCCGCGCAGTTACCTATCTCGTATACGTACGCATCTTGCCCCTGACACCAAAAATATAATGCTTACCTAGATGATATCTTTTAATTTATATGAATGTTTAATGGAATAATATACAGCCTATGTCCACCCTGAAGGTCCATTCTAAATATTGATGAAAGAATTTTTGAAATTGGATGAGTAGTTTCGGAGATTACCTCCTACTTACAAACTTTACCTCTTTATAATATTAGTATAGATTTATCAGATAATAGAAATTAAGTTTTATGCTATTATTAAATTTTATTTTAGTTTTATTTTCATTAAGCAGTCAATAATAATATATTTTTCTATAAAGTTTTCTGCTCAAAGCATCTTTCATGAAGAAAGTAGAGATATTTTTTAATACTAATAACTTTAAAATATTCCTTTTTTTTTTCTTTTATTTTTATGCTCTATTTCTATATTGAATTTTTGGTAGCTTTCAATAATTGCTATACTTACTATTTTTTTACAATCTCTTATTCTTAGGAATTCTTTTTATTTTCTTATCAAATATATTTTTGGGATGTAATTTGAAAAAATTGAGACCTATAAATTTCCACTGTCTGGCTGTCTGTCCTTCCTTAATCTCAAGAATGTAGTTAGATAGATGAAATTTGAGACCAGATATGGAAGGCTTAGGGGCAGGAGGTCCAGATTAAGTATATACAAACTTCTGGGGCAAAATGAATACTATTTTAATTCAAAAATTTTCCCTGAATGGAATTAGATAGATGACTGGCATGATTATTGCTAACAGGAAAAGTATGATGTACAGGGGTTAGACACGACTAAAAAATTGAGAACACTGACAAAAAATTGCAGCCTGTCATTGTAATGATGTCACATAAATAATTGCTCATTTCTTTTATAATGATCTAATTTTTAATAATATAAAAAGTTATATAATAAAGTAAATAAATTGAATATGAAAAGTGTGAAATATATTTCGATTGTAATACAGAATCAGAAAATTATAGTATGTTTATATATTTTTTAATAAGAATTATTATTAAAGGATATCTTAAAATATAGTTTATATTCATTTTACAATATTTATTATATAAATTATATTATAAGTTTTTATTCCAGCTAAATGCAATTGAACAAGAAAACAAATCTGTAGAAAAAACTATAAAAAATGAATGTTCACAACTTCAGAAGGAAGTAAATTCATTACAATTTACTTTAAATTACACTGAAAGCCAGTTAACAGAAAGTCAACGTAATTGGCTTGAAAGATATAACAGGTAATCAATTTTTTCAGTATATAATTTTATTATTATAAGAAACTTGTGAGAAATTTTAAATTATTTCTCATATGGATCATACAGTAAAAACATGAATTTTTTTTTTAGGATAAAAGTTTTTTGTGATAATTATCTATCACAAAAAACTTTGTGATAGATAATTATCACAAAAAAACTTCTGGTATTTACAAGTTGTTCTTGATTCTACTTAATTAAAAAGTCCAGTTATGAAAAGTAGAACTAAAACATAACTTTTCAGATAAAATAAAATAAAACATTAAATAAATAAATAAGTAATTATCTAAAACCACCAATAATTCTCTTCAAAATGAATGTTTTCTTCCATTTTTAACGGTCATCACCAGGTTTCCATGCATTGGAATGCTTGTAAGAGAACGCCTATTCCAAAAATTAAAAAATTGCACATCATGAAGATATGCATATGCTCAAAACATTCATTTTGAAGAGAATTATTGCAGGTTTTAGAAAAATTAAAACAATATTTTTCATTACATTAAGAAGATTTTTATGACTTACAAGGAGAGTGTAAGACATTTGAGTTTCTGATTCAAACAAAACTAGGTGAACATGTAGACTAGTGTTTCTCAACCTCTAATGAATCATCGCCCCCTTCAATAAAACCGTTATGTAGTATTTCCCTCTTCACTTCAAAATTTCAATGCCGAGGGCCAAGGCTAACCCCAAATTCGTACCGCATTGAATAAACTAGTGACTAGTATAATGTTATTTGTTTAATTATTGTACGATATAACAAATAAAATATCTAATTATTCTTAATGTAATGTTTTACTATATCGCCCAGAAAATTGTTTTTTGCCCCCCCAAAATATAAATTGTTACAAATCGCCCCCTCAACATGGAAAAACACCCACATGGCGGCGATATCGTCCTCATTGAGAAACACTGATGTGGACCTATACACAAACAACTCCTTGTTCAAATAATAGAACCTACATCTCAAGCATTTCTGAAAAACAGATCTCTGAAAATTGAGTGTTTAGCTTTCTTTAGAAGTTTTACATCTCCTTGGAATGGTGATAGCTGAGTGGATAATACACTAGAAACTGGAGTTACATGACTTCTCTTGTTTTATAAACTTTAAATGTGAGAAATAATAATTGTAATAATAATGCTAATGATATGATTATGTGTAACATAATTATTTTATTATTTTAAGAAAAAAAATTAAAATTGTAAAGGTACAAACCTACATCATGTAGCACCAATGCCTAGTGTCTTATCCATTCAGCTATTGCCATTCCAAAAAGACATGAAACTTCTAAAGACATAAGCTAAACACACAATTTTTAGAGGTTTGTTATTTGAGCCTCTATAAATTGAGTGTTTAGCTTATAAGATGGTTTAGAAGTGGGTCCTATTATTTTAACAAGGAGCTGTTTGTGTTTAAGGCTATGTGCTCGCCAAGTTTTGTTCAAATCAGAGATCCGAACATGTGACCTTCTTGTTAGTTGCAGACATGCTTAACATAAAGATGAATGGTTAGAAAGATAGAGGCCAATCCATCACTTTCTTTTCTCAAAATTTTAGAGATTTTTACATCTCAAAGATTTAAAAAAAATTATTTTTGTAATATTTCAGAATTCTTTGTAAAAAACTAATAGTGGACAAATGTAACAGGATCATCAGGTTACTTTTATATGGATTTTCTTCTAAAAGATAATTATTCTGCAAAGAAAGATAATCCAATAAATATATTTGGAATAATACAAGATGTAGAATCTTTAATGATTATCATAAATACATCTAATTTTTCATTATTTACAATTTAGCTCTTGATGTAAATATTTTCACCTTTCTTATGGCAGTATCTTTTTCTTAGAAGTCCCATTATGTACTTGCTGTAATTAGTGTAAATAATTATGAAAACTGCCATTTGTAAACTGTCACATATTTTACAATAAAATGATGACATGCATAGAGAGAAAATAAAGAGAAATATTATTTTTCTAAAAATTTCAATATGTAGAAACAGATTACTATTTAATGAATTATTTTTCTGTTATAAATAAATACTGAGATAAAGACCAGAATGTAGATAAACTACAAACATCAATAATTGTTTAGATTTAGATTTTTGAAAAAATTTAATACTTAAATGTTTTCAAGCATGCACCTTATCTTAGATAATAGTTTTAACTTGAAGTAGCACACACATCAAGGGTGCAAGACTGCTGTAAGACGTTTTCTGAGATATAAATAAATTTTCTTCTTTTGATAAAAAAAAAATTTTTTTAAATTCAATCAATCAATCTTTATTAGCAAAAAAGAGAAAAATGTCCCTGTTGCCTGGGGAAATTACATAGGTCTTAAAAGTACAAAACTTTAAAATTTTTTTCTTTTTTTCATTTACAAGCAACAGAAAATGTTATTACAAATTATTTAGGTTAGTCAAAGATCTTTGTTACAATAAACTTACTAATCTCTTTAACACAAAACAAGAATTCAGATTCTTTTCAAATGACCTCTCTAAATCTTATCCCTTGTAATTTTTAACACATTTTGGGTTATAATTTAGATTTCCTTTGCAATTCCATGATTTTAACAAAATAATTGTACAATCTATATAAATCATTTTTCTCAAGATTTTTTTATATTTCTAAAGTCAAAAGGTATGCTACATTGAAACATTTGCAAGATGCCAAACAAATTATGCATGTCTGAAAGTCTGACATTCCCACAGCGAATGAAACATTGAAAAGTCCTTGGATTTACACCAATAAAATTCATTACCTGAGAAGTTTATATATGCATTTCTGATAAATAGTGAGTTTTTATTAATACACAGTTGAATTACTAATCTTTTCACATTGATATTCACTAATTTCACTATGTATGGCTGAACTGATGATGTGTTTAATATTTTCAAGTACCAAGGTTGATAATTACATTGACATAGGTTATCTATTGCCAAATTAATCAACATTGTGTATCTATATTTCCAGTCTGGTATATTGTTTTCGAACATCAAGTCTGTCACTCCAAAAGAGTGCAGGATTTTATTAAACTTGTTCTACCATAATTGTTCAGTCTTTAATTTTTTACTTTGTTTAATTTATTCTTGTTGTAAGAAAGTTATATTATCGCTTCAAAGTTTTATCCGGTAGTAAAATTTGATTATGTGTTTAAGGAAGAAAGGAAAACATCAAATTCAGTTTCATGGTGGATAGCATATCCAGGGACAGTTCTTTCTAAATGGAATAATCTTTGAAGAAAATAAACATGAAATCATTCAATTTATATAAATAGTCTAATCCCCAAACTGGACATGCATAGTAAATGATTGGGTTTATTACTGAATTATATATAATTTCTTCTATTTTTTGGAACTGTTTATCAGATTCTCAAATACTCTTGTGTATTGAGTTAGGTAATCTTTTATTGAAGATATTTGGTTAGATAGTTTTTCGTTAGAAGTATTAATTAAATTGTCATTTTATTCCATAGATCTGTTGTTGAAATGTCTGGTGATTTACTTGGGTTGATTAATAAAGTTATACATAGGTCATTTAACTTACCTGGAGATTGCTGTAGGTGCTGTGATTCTTTTTCCATTTGGGAATTGATGCCAGCTGAAAACAATTTGTATATATCATTGTCAGCATACATATTAAAATCTGTTTGGTGTTAGACAAGCAGGTTGTTCCCTTCTACTTCTTGATTTAGTGCATATTAGTGGAGGTCTTTCACACTTGACTGGAGAATGTTGCATGGCAACTGATGCCATGACATGCCCCTATTTAATTTATTAAGAATACAGTTAATCAAGTTTTTAAAATATTAAAATCTTTTTTTGTTAAGAACTGAGTCTTTATTTAAAAAAATAAAATTTAATATTGATATTTAGGTNAAGAATACAGTTAATCAAGTTTTTAAAATATTAAAATCTTTTTTTGTTAAGAACTGAGTCTTTATTTAAAAAAATAAAATTTAATATTGATATTTAGGTATTTTTAAAGTTAGAAATCCCTAATCTAGATCTAAATTTTTTTATGTTAATGAAAGGTTACAGATAAATTTTCTTTTTTAATTGCTTAATTACTTCTAAAACAAAGACTTAAATACATGAGAACAAGAAGAATTTTTTTGTTTTGAGGGTACTAAAGTGTATTTTTAAAATTCAAGCAGTATGAGCATCTAAAAAGTTAAGAATCATTCTCTCAGAGATATCATTAAATACAAAATAAAATTTAAATGGATTTAGACTAATTTTTTAAAGTAAAAATGCCAATAAAGCAATTTTGTTGTGTTTTTACTTACTTGATTTTGGATTTGTTTGCTTTTAGATATAAATATTTTGAAAATTATAAGTAGTTATGAATATTAATTCTCAGAATAAAATGATGTGACAATAAGTAACAAACTAATTTATAAAGTTAAAAATAAATAAATAGAATTTAGAAATTAAATAAATAATCATTTATTTAATTTTACATAATTTTATTTTAACTATAGTGTTGCCAAAGAAAACAGTGAATTAACAATAACTGTTAAGGAACAAGCAGATGCAATTAAGTCATTAATTTCTAATCGCATGGGTAAGTTTAAACTTTAAATTTTTAATATTTAAATTATTAATATATATGTTAAGCTCAAAGACCAAAAATGCTCAATGAGTGAAAAAATTGACTGCAACATATTCTGACTTCTCAGATATAGCTACAATGCAAATTTCATGTTGTGACACTTTCAAAAATCTCAAAGCAAAATTCATGTTGATATTTTTGTAATAATCAACAAAAATGCAATCTGACAATGTGAAAATGCCACAATATGTTGTGGATGCTTATTAATGCAGCCATGATGCAATGTGATAAAAATATCACGTTGCATCATGTACATTTGCACATAATAATGTGCAAAAATATGTAACAAGTTTCTTTATTATTTAGAATAAAATCAAATTCTGATTTACATTGAGAAACCAGCCTTATTAACCTATGTCTAAGCCTTAAATTTATAGGACAGAAAATAAAGATATTTTGTTTTCCCTTTTGACTAAGACTTCCTCTCTTTGCTAATCAGAAACTACACCAGTATAGACTATACTGATTTAGTTTTTGATACTATATAGTCCTGTTAAATAAGATCCAAATAGATGGTATAAAAACAAAAAAGTAAAACATTAAGGACATAGAGGTAAAAAGAATTATAGGGCAGAAACTTCTATTTATCATTATTTTTTACTAATGTTAATATAAAAATTTGGGGGTTGCCTCTTTGTCAGAGTGTCATTATTGAAAACAAATTTGCAATCAATTGACGAAGTGACTCTCAAATAAATTTCTTATTTGACTTAAATCTATAAACTAACTTTAAAATCCTAGATACTTAAAAAATCATTTGTAGGTATCAACAGCAAATTGTCTTCTTCACTGTGAATTATAAAAGAAAATGAAGAGTTACATTTATTATACTATGGTTCTTTTNTTTTTTTGTTTTGAGGGTACTAAAGTGTATTTTTAAAATTCAAGCAGTATGAGCATCTAAAAAGTTAAGAATCATTCTCTCAGAGATATCATTAAATACAAAATAAAATTTAAATGGATTTAGACTAATTTTTTAAAGTAAAAATGCCAATAAAGCAATTTTGTTGTGTTTTTACTTACTTGATTTTGGATTTGTTTGCTTTTAGATATAAATATTTTGAAAATTATAAGTAGTTATGAATATTAATTCTCAGAATAAAATGATGTGACAATAAGTAACAAACTAATTTATAAAGTTAAAAATAAATAAATAGAATTTAGAAATTAAATAAATAATCATTTATTTAATTTTACATAATTTTATTTTAACTACAGTGTTGCTAAAGAAAACAGTGAATTAACAATAACTGTTAAGGAACAAGCAGATGCAATTAAGTCATTAATTTCTAATCGCATGGGTAAGTTTAAACTTTGAATTTTTAATATTTAAATTATTAATATATATGTTAAGCTCAAAAACCAAAAATGCTGAATGAGTGAAAAAATTGACTGCAACATATTCTGACTTCTCAGATATAGTTACAATGCAAATTTCATGTTGTGACACTTTCAAAAATGCACATAATGCATTTTGGTATATTCAATAAGACCTCAAAGCAAAATTCATGTTGATATTCTTTTAATAATCAACAAAAATGCAATCTGACAATGTGAAAATGCCACAATATGTTGTGGATGCTTATTAATGCAGCCATGATGCAATGTGATAAAAATATCACGTTGCATCATGTACATTTGCACATAATAATGTGCAAAAATATGTAACAAGTTTCTTTATTATTTAGAATAAAATCAAATTCTAATCTACATTGAGAAGCCAGCCTTATTAACCTATGTCTAAGCCTTAAATTTATAGGACAGAAAATAAAGACAGATGAAAATAAAGATATTTTGTTTTCCCTTTTGACTAAGATTTCCTCTCTTTGCTAATCAGAAACTACACCAGTATAGACTATACTGATTTAGTTTTTGATACTATATAGTTCTGTTAAATAAGAATCCAAATAGATGGTATAAAAACAAAAAAGTAAAACATTAAGGACATAGAGGTAAAAAGAATTATAGGACAGAAACTTCTATTTATCATTATTTTTTACTAATGTTAATATAAAAATTTGGGGGTTGCCTCTTTGTCGGAGTGTCATTATTGAAAACAAATTTGCAATCAATTGACAAAGTGACTCTCAGATAAATTTCTTATTTGACTTAAATCTATAAACTAACTTTAAAATCCTAGATACTTAAAAAATCATTTGTAGGTATCAACAGCAAATTGTCTTATTCACTATGAATTATAAAAGAAAATAAAGAGTTACATTTATTATACTATGGTTCTTTTCATTATATAACTTTTTGTGACAGGAAATTTTGCTGATGATTGTTTTTCTAATAATAAACATGATCAGCAGTAGTCCTTTGGTGAAAATTATACATAAATTTTTTATTAAAAGTATCTGTTCAAAAATAAGTAATGAATTTTTATCACATTGCATTATGGCTGTATTAACTCCATAACATATTGTGACATTTTTGCATTGCCAGATCACATTTGATTATTAAAAGAATATTGACACACGTTTTGTGTTCTTATTGAATATGCCAAAATGCTTTGTGTGCATTTTTGAAAGTGCCATGACATGAAATTTGTATTGTGGCTGGCAGCAATACTCTCTGAGGGAGGCCAAGAGTCTTGGCACCCTCCAAAGAAAAAGGAAAACAAATACCAGAAAATTTTCTTAAAATCTTTTCTTAATTAAAATATATTTTTTATTTTTATTTTGTTGTGTCTTCTATTTTTTATGAATTAGCAGTCACAAAAGATGGGAATTTTATTGAATTTACATTAAAAATTTTTTTATCCATTCAATTTGACTTCCCCAAAATTAAATCCTGAGGACACAACTGGTGGCTGGATCTGAGAAGTCAGAATGTGTTATGGTTGATTTTTTTGCTCAATGAGCATTTCCAGTCTTTGAGCCTAACATACTGTAAAATTAATTTTAAAGATTTTAGTTTTTAATGTATATTTTTAAATATACAGTATAAACAAAAATTTATTACAATTACTTACATGATTTATAACTTCTAGTATGACTTAAATTCTAGTATAATTACTAGAATCAATTAGTGGAGTTAATCAAAATACGTGATTATATAGAAATGTATTAAATTTCAGAGAGAAATTCAGTTCCAAAAATCATTAATAGTCATAAACTAAGACTAATCTCCGATTTCTATTATTAGTGAAATCTGCTTTCTTGAAAAGCTAAATTAAAATTGATGTGATATTGATTTTGTAATTTTGCTAATGGGATTCCAAATATATCAATATAACCAACAGGCAATTTAATATAAAATTAATAATAATATTTCTATAATTTAATTGATTAAATAAAAGAATAATAATTATAAGAACTTTTTTACTAATTAAAAGAACTTTTATAAAAGTTCAAATTGCAACATTCACTCAACATCTTTCTACCCACAAATATCCTCTCAAAAGAGAGGTGTTTATGGAATATAATAATTTTCTTCCTCTTCAAAAAGAGGAAGAAAACAAAAATATCATTGGAACAACAGAAAATAAAAACCTCCTCACATTGGCTGTTGATCCTCTATGAAAAGGAGGGATATCAAAGAGATAATTGGTTCAAAAGTCAGGTAGATGCAATCCAAAAGTCAATTAGTTGAACATTAGTTGGTCAGCTAATCTCATGATCCAGATTTTGTATGCTCTGTAATTTATTACTTTAATGAACAAACTTGGGACCACTGTCACATAAATATACATATACCTATGTATTTATGTATTAGAGTTGTAAAAACCAGAAATTACACAACTGCTTCCAGAATCAAATCTTGCCTGAAACCCAGGCAAAATTAGTTTTGATGATGAAAGAAACAACTATTTTTCTCTACATAATTAATTAATTAAATAGCATCACTCTTCATTAATAGAAAGAATAATTTTATTTATGTGTAAAACTAATAAAATGAGTGGATTTAAATTCACAGTAAATTTGGAATTTTGCTTTACTTTTTATTTGTTATATGGCAACCTGTGAGGTTCTCACCAGACACTATTGTTTACCTGCAGTTTATTTATATTATTGGACCGAAATTTGAAAAAATTGTAGACCTATAAATCCCACTGTTGTTCATCTGTCCATCCTTCCTTAATCTCAAGAATGGTGTTAGATGGATGAAAGTCAAGATCAGATATGTAAAGCTTAGGGGCAAGAGACCCCAGTTAGTTGTATATGAACTTCTGGTCTAGACTGGAAGTCATGAATTCAATTTAAAAATTTTCCCCCAAATGTGTTGGTTATCTATGTAATTCCAACTCTGTTGTTATCAGGAAAAGTATGATATACAAGGGCAAGACACAACTAATTTGAGATGGAGAACATATATTTTAAATTAAATAAATTAAGAATGTATTTAAAAATTACAACCTGGCTTAGTGATAATGTCACAATAAATAAATGCTCATTATTAATAATTATTAATTCAACAAAAATAGCATTCTATACATAGCCATATTCCGTTTGCTTAATAAATTATATCAGTTACATGGCAGATATAAGTAAATCTTAGATAATTTGAAACTCAATACTGAAGTCATGATTATGTCATCCTTTGAATTTTGATCTAATGAAAATTTCCTTCATGTTATTTTTACATTCATATAAAGTAGTTTTTGTGTGTGTATAGAGTATTTTATATTATTGATGATGTACAGTAGACCTCCCTATAATGCGAAGATACATTCCTCGTTATACGAATTTCGCATCGTAGGAATCCTTGGGCTGTGATTGGCTCACATATTTGACACGTGAAGTTTAAGGACTACGGCTGTTTGAAAGGTTTTCTTCCATAAAATTAATCAATTATAGACTAATTCGACTTAACATTTCCAAAATACGTATATTGTTTTTGGAAATAATCCATATAAACTGCGCTATAAACAAAAAATTGTAGGATTACTTACTGAGTGTGCACCATTCGACATCACCGTTGCTCAAGCTTGTTTTTGTTGCGGAACAGCGCAGCAAACCGCAGCCGCGATTTCAGATGTTATTTTTCTGCGAAAACTTCGTTGAACTTTGGAGACATCATTAATATAAATAATTTTAATCGCCGTTGAATAAGAAATGTTTCTTTCACAAGAAATGTATAAAATTACAGTACTGTATTAGACTTACTGTACCTAATTTACATACTGTACAGACGATAGTTAGCGTAAAATCT